CTGCACCAAGTTCATTTGTTTAGCTAGCTTCGAACCCAATACAGCATCCTGCTAGAACAGCTTAGGAAAGGAAATGAATAGTAAAAAGAGGGGCCGCAAAACATTACAACAGCCCAGGACTCCTCCCACCATCATCATCACCTCTGGAATGTAAATGTTGTATGCCAACCGTTACAGCACAGTGGCACCATCCGTAATGCGCTGCATGTTCACAACAAATGACACGTCTCTTTGTAATGTGCGAATCGTGAGCCTTGGCAAATGTCAGGCTGGCAAAGTGGTGGGGGTGGTGTAGATGGTGCCCACACTCGTGTCCTTGAGCAGCTGTCCGAGTCGCGAAGTGAAGTCTTCCACGCGGCCTGAATCCCCGTGCCACTTCTTCCAGTCCACACTGATCCACTTTTTCCGCACGGCTCACACCAGGATCCTCGCTCGCACACTCTCATCCGGAAATGTAAGCAAAGCCTAGGAATATTGTGCTCTAATTCAGGGATTAACGGGAGATTTTAGAAGCAATCTTTTTTCGTGCGTGCGTGCACGCGCGTCGGCGTGCGTGCGCGTGCTATGTCACCGCTATGCCGAATGAAACACCCGGCTCCATCTGTCTGTTCGCTGTGGCTTTCAGGATGCTGTTTCTCACGCCATGGTGGCTGCACTGCGACCTTTTTCTCTACGTTCAATATTTTGGACGCTGCTACGGTGGTGTAATGGGTTGGGCCACAGAGCACTTGCGATCCAGAGGTCGCCGGTTTGAATCGATCTCCTGGCGCTGCAGTTGAAACGGCAGTGAGATGTTAACTACCTCGCCTGGTATACAGGAGGGCGTGGATTCAATCCCGACCATGATTCCTGTTGTATATTTGAAGTTTGCATATATCTCTCTCCGTGTTTGCGTGCATTTTTCTCCGGGTCCTCCGGTTTTTCCCTTCACATTTAGAATCAACATCATGCGTTTAGCGAGTATTTGACTACTGCTGTAAATGTCCACGACGATAGGCCACTTCGTTGAGCTATTATATGTAATAGCCAGCTTGCTTCTGAAAAAGAGCTGTGTAGCTCAGTGGGCCTTGCCTGGTAAAATAAAAAGTAGTTTAGTTTTAGAAAAAACGGCGTGAGTTTCGGAAATCGCTTCCCCTCCACCTCTGTCCACCTAGCAGTATAAATGGGTACAAGTGTAGTGTCAACGATTCGGAGACAGAGTTTATCGGGGGCACCTTTTTTATTAACCACAACTTCCATGGTCTCAGCCACACACTCTCCACAGTAGCTCAGCCTAGCCTGTGCACAACACCGGCCGTCTAACACTGACGGCGCTGACTTAGACAGCCAACTGCTATCTTTCGTAGCGCAATATCTAGCGGAGACGGCAGTGACGACGGCGACGAGACGACAGCGACGACGAGACGAGTCCATTCCCAGAACCGGCAGCCTCGAGCTCCCCGCTCTCGGCTCTTTTTATGCTCCCAGCGTGGCCTGGCTCCGCCCCCTGACCACGCCTCCATTCTCGAACCCGCTAGCAGATACCAGGGGCCTCAAGATGGGGTCGTCCGTGACCCTTGCCCGAGTGTTCCGCTCCGCCAACACACCCTCACCGGCGTGTGTACTGTCTGCCCACCGCAGTTTCCGCCGCTGTCCACCAGCCGGCGCTATTACACTACACAAGCACAGTCGGTCGATCGGTAGGTCACGTGTGGTGGGGTAGAGTATAGGTACTCGCACTTCTTCCAAGAGACGTCTGGCCAAAGTGGAAGAGTAGGCCAAAACACTCCGCAGAGGTGGGTTCTCCAGAGCCTCCTCTAGTGGTGAGGGCCCTCCTGGCACTGATGGCGTGAGAGGGGAATTGTGGAGTCTCAAGGGATGAGCTGAAAATGTGGGTAAATTTCATTGATTTCCAACAAGTAAAGATTACTCTGAAAACACATCAGCAAGATGCTTATCCCTCATCATCTAAAGGGCGCTATAATAAAAATCAAGCAGTTAATGAATACAAGTGTTTTAGTCAATGGATTGACTTCAATTCGTGATTTTATTAAACATCAAGTGCTTTATCATACAACAAACGTTTTCATTTCTTCTGAATCGATCGACCAATTTTTCTGTAAGATTGTGACAGTCACTTTGGTTCCAGTGAGACCACATTTGCTGTGCGTTTAGCGGCACAGGCTTGCATGCGAAACATTTTACGAGCCAACGATCCCGCATTTAACCCAGGTCGCCCTTGAAAAGAGGCAGTGTTGTTTGACGTCTCAATGGGTCGTTTTAAATCTCCTGGCTTTCATAAAGCATGCACCAAAGAACAGTCAGTTGGTGATACCGCCATTGGCAGTGGTGTACAAGCACAAATAACAACACACACTCATTGAGCACGTTCGTCGACAACACTGTGGCCTTAAATGGTAAAAATATTTAAAAGGTGATGTTTCATTTAATGGCTCTTCTTCACGATTATTCGTGCGCATTGAAGAATGGTACATGGCCTGCAACGTCGCCAACAGTACTTTTTGGGCAATGGCTCCTTGCAATAACACGTGAGGAACCATGAAGAATGACCATTGCCCCGAAACGTCGCCTATTATCTATTCTTCCTCAAAAGGCCACGGTGTTATTTACGAAGGCGCCAACTTATACATGCATGAGGAGCCTTGTAACTCAATACACCCGATCTCGTTAGATCTCGGACATTAAGAAAGGTTAGTAATGTTTGGGCACTTGCCTGGGAATTCCAGAGTCTGTGCGGTGGCCACCATATGGCAGTATAACGGCGGCTTCTTTAATCCATCTGTGCAGAGTTTTGAGTGTAACCCACTCGTTATGAATTTTCTCTGAGTTTTTTAAACACTCGCGTTCAATGTTGACCAAATCGTTCCAGCGCAGAACCCTCCTGAAAAAGCAGTCTAGAGAAGCGCAAGAGAAACAAACGTAAAAACATTGGTATTTTATATTTGTTTGTTTTGCGTGCAAATATTGTTCGTGAAAAAAATAACATAGATTTTTTTTACTGAGATGATCATTTCAACTTGTAACGCACCGCACCGGTATTCGACGCCGAGGCGTGAGGAGGAACCACAGACGAGCGGAAAGCCACGCGGTGAGCCGGTGCCAACAATTGCCCCAAGCTCTGCGGTCCTCGATATATGTTCGGGCGTTTATCGGCCAATCAATGAGTGACTACACGCGGGAGGAACCCGCAGCACCCGGATAAAATCCACGCGTGCGAGAGGGAAACACAGTTCCTATGATCGCTGTTACATTGCTTTTATAGCTTTATTTTGTTGATTTAGAAAACGTTTTGGTATAGTCATTTTGTTTGTTTGTTCTACCGATTAGACTGATAACTTTAATCTAAAATTAGTTATTGTTTGACTTGCATCCCACTGGGATTTTTGCACACAGCGTTGAGATGCGGTGCTTTTTCTGGAAGGCTTTGCTGTTTTTTCCTGGATTTTTCTGTTTGCGCGTAGTCACTTTTAAATGTTTCTTGTTCATGTTTTTGTTTGTTGCGGTTGCACCCGATTCAAGAGCCGCATGGCTCACAGGGCTATACCAAATAAATGAAACTGAAAACTGAAACATCCCATACAGACTGACCAGGTGGAGTCCACATTGTTTTGCTGTACTGGATTCTCCTGGCAAGCCAGGGTGTAGCACCTCCACACCTACGATCCAGCAGACCTCGCCTCTTGCAGTGCTGGATTACGGGCAACGTGCATAGCCACCGCCATGATTCTGAAGCTAAGCAGGCTTTGAGCCTGGATAGACGCACGTATCACAGTGTGCCAGGGCGACTGGTGGCAGCGCAGCAAATTAAATTTCCGCGCATTGCATCCGCGCTTTCACGTGCTCCCCACTATCACCGACCAGCAGTGACCAGCGTGGTGAAGCACGGTTAATTTGACCGCCACAAGCACCGCACAGAGTGGAGAGGCCCTCATCCAGCAGTGGATTGACACAGGGCTGTAGATGTTGGTACGTGTACATGAAGCTAAAACATTTTTTAGCCGCTGATTATTCGTCCGTAAATGATGTCAGTTTAATTGACAAACTAAAGTAGAGTTCACGTTCGCTCCTAAGGTCCGGAGGCAATTCCAATTGAGTAGCTCGCAATGCCATTTTCTGGAATTGGCAGATAAACATTGGATGGTTGCCATTCAGTGGGTGAAGGGATGTTGTTATGCAGCGTTCCCACTTCGTAAACTACCAGTTCACTGGTTTTAATCCCGAGCCAAAGCGATCTAACCTGCATCTTCCAAATCTATTTTTTTCTTCCGAATTTCATTCACGCAGGAATTGTTTCTTATTTATCGTTCCCTGTCAACTCATATTTTTTTTCGCCAGGGTTGATGGATCATCGCACTCACCAGAGTGGGCGTGTGCGGCTGCGCGAGTCGACCCAAAAATGATATAAAAGAATCCGAAATGTGAACATTATCATTATATATTTTTTAAACCATACAAAAATGACAGTGGCCTTTGCTTCGAGCCAATTCTTTCCCAGAAAAGTCAGCTGTTTAGCTCGGAGCATAAACCGCGTGTAAGTGAATAAAATATTTATTTAATTTCGCATAAATCCAGGCCATTTGGGGAGCGAAAAAAAAAATCCGGGCGCTCGCATGCATGGAAGTGAGAGTAACGAGGTTGGATGTGTGGCGCAATGCTTCAGCCGTGTGCCCAGCTCATCCACTCCCCCCCCTCCTGTCTCTGCATTTCGCTCCTCGCGTTACCATTGGAGGCACCACGGTGGAACAGGCTAGCTGGCGGCCACGAGGCCATCTCATCGTGAGGTTCCAGGGGGGAGAGAACGGTCGGCGTGAGAGGGCGGCAGAGGCAGCGGCCGTGGTGGTGGTGGTGCGGGGGGGAGGGGGCGGTGCGCACAGAGAGAGGGGGGCTGAGGGTCGGCTGCCGGGAGGCAGTCGATGTCTGTCTCACGCCGCCGTTTCTCGTCGCCGTCGTGGTGCTGCCCTTGGTTGCGCGGTCACGGCCTGGCGATGCTCTATTTCCAGCTCGTCATCATGGCCGGGGTGGTGATGTTGGCGTACTACTTTGAGTTCACGGACACCTTCACCGTGCACGTGCAAGGCTTCTTCTGCTTCGCGCCCGAGCTCAGCAAGCCCTACCCGGGTCCCGAGGAGCGCAGCAAGATCCCGCCCGTACTCATCTACTCGCTGACTGCCGGCCTGCCTGTGCTGCTGGTAGGTGAAGCGCTTGCGCTCCATCTCTCTCTCTGTCTCTATGTGTGTGTGTGTGTCTTTGTGTGTGTGTCTCTGTCTTTTGGTGGTTCAGATAATCGTCACACCGGTGACGATTATCTGAACCGGTCCTGGACCTCTCCTAGGTCGATTCAGCCTTAAATGAGTGCCTCATGCGGCGTCTAATCATGTTGGCCAAACCAGCCCTTGTGTGCCGTACCTGCCTTCAGAGGCTATTCTCTGCCAGCGCTTGCATTAACAGTCTGCTAAGGCTCTAACGGAAGATATTTGTCTCTGTGCATCGCCTTGTGCGCTGTTCCACCCCTCATTACAGCTCACCAACAGCACTTGCCCCAACGGTCTGTCAAGGATCCATGACAGATTTTTGTCTCTCTCCGCAGTTAACATTCCTTCTCACAGCTGGGTGCTTTCTTCCTCACTATCACAATGTAATGCAAATTAAGCGATACAAAGACTGAGATTCCCACTCCCCCATAACCTCATCAAGCTGTGGAGGAGCGGTAGCGCGGTGGTTAACGCTGCTATGTTAACGGACCCGGCAGCCCAGGTTCGATTACCGGTCACGGCGAACATCAGTGGCGACTATTGAACCAGTTTTGGGCCTCACATAAGTACCCGCTGCTCTGTGTATCAACGCGAGTGATGGGGAGACAAAGGCGGCCGGGGGTGGTGATCCTACGACGCCGCACACAATCTTGCGCGCCGTGTCGGCCTTCAAAGGTTTTAAGAGCACTTGGCCCGTGGAGGCTATATGGGGGATCTTCGCCTTTGTATATCTCTCTGTGGCTCTCAACTGTCCCTTATCTCGTGCAGTGTTCATGTTGTTGTATTAAGCAACTGCTGTATACATTTAATGCATTTATGTCGGAGAAACTCGGGACGTTCTTGAAAGAGGACCTTCCGCATGGAGATTTTTGGCTAATTTTCGTCGATCGTTGCTGTTTGCCGAGTGTGCCATGTAATGGGATGAACATTAATTTGGGTTTAATGGGGAATTAGTCTTGAATTACTCTGGCCGTGGAAGTTGATTAATTTGTTAAATAAATAAAGTGACTTCCATTGTCACACTGCTAATTTAAATTCGAATAGAGCAACGCAGTGGGTAAGGTGGGCAGTTGTACGTTTAATATAATCGCAACCAGATAGTTCTTTATATTACGTATTAAAAAGTGACGATGGTAAAGGCGCAGCGCTGCAATTGCTCGCTCACGCCACTGCTGGCGGAAGCGCCTCCACGAGGGGGAGCCCGAGAGGACCTTGCTCTCGATGGTAATATGGCCTCGATTTCTACAATGGCCCAGGCATCTTGGAAGTAACTCACACTTTATCCCACCACCTGTCATCTGCCGATCTACTCGTTGATAGTGCATGATGGTCAGAGGCAGTGGGTGGGGAGGAAAGGGGGGGGGGGTTAAGAATCTTTCCCGTAACATATGTTTTTTTGTTAGGTTAGATCCCTTAAATATAAATGTGTCGTTAACCCACCACCACCAGCCGACACGGCCAATTAGTAATGTTTGTCACGTAAGCAAAAACGTGCCAATTAGTTACTTCTTAAGCACACCGGCGTGTCGGAGAGTAAACCCACGACATTTGCAATTCGAGTACGACGTTTCGCTGGTGATTACAACCGGCTTCATCAGGCGACTTGTCAGACTCTTGTCCCCCGTTGTTTCAACCGCGGATGGAATCGAACCGGCGACCTCTGGACCGCTAGTCCAGTCAGCGAACCACTTACACCACGGCAGCATCCCGACACAACTCACTATCTGAGATGCATCATTATTGACAGTCACCTGCTGTTCAGCGTTTCTGTTTCGCTCAAGTTAAAGTAAGTATCACTGTGCTCAAATGAGCATCGGTTGTTGCTCGCCACGTGCGGTGGTGGATGTTCAACATTCCATGCAGCAAGAACCAATTCATCAATGCAACATTTGTTGGCTTCGCAACAAATGGTACAGTCCCACTACGTAGTGTTTATTTCATAGAACCCTCAACGGATGATCCTATGAGCTGACCTTGACCGAGATTTCAACTTATAATCTAATGACAGAGAGCCCGGCAGCTATACATTTGGGCTGTTGGCTGGTGGTCGTTTGTTTGCGTTAGGCGATGTTGCCACTTATAAAATATTTAAAACCTAACTGCAGTGGGATGGCCGAGTGGCGCAGAGGTCAGATCTGAGCCAGCGCTGCTGAGATCCTGGGTGTGAAACCAGATTGCAGACGCCCATGGTGAAACCAGTCTCAGCCCGGCCACCAGTGATGCCACGAAAATGTCACACTACTATTACAAATAATACAGGCCTCGAGTATTCTCTCCTCATCTGATTTGTATTTAGTTCCGTTATGCAGTCTCAGTGACCTGTTCCCTCTTTCATGAACACTTTTGGTATTTTTTTCCTTTTTTGTATTAGTTCTTCGTGAGAGCTTGGGCGACTGAATCAGTTTGCACTCAATCGAATGCAATTCTGTAGTCTTCAAATGGTTTGCAATGATATTTGATATTCATTCATCATTAAAATAAATGTTATTCAAAGCGCGCATTTATTTTGGTCAACGATGTAACCTCTGTATTTTTAAACGCAGCCTGCTTTCATGATTGGTTGGACTCTAAATTGACCACTATTTGCGGACAATCTTTCTCGAATAAATTTTATACGAGTGGTAGCTTAGAGATCAAGATGGCACTATACCAAGCATGAAATCGTGAAACAGAACCATCTCGTGAGTGGAGGAATTCTATGCAGGTCTTTATAGTAGAAAAATTATCAATTAATCACATGGCCCAGCAAGCAAATACTTTTTTGGGTGTAGAGGTTCCAGATGCTATTTTTTCAGGAGGCATCCACTCCCCTTTTCGGTAGGAAAACAATAGAAAGTTCCCAGGGGGTGAGATGGTACACAACAACAAAAATAATGATGAGCATTGTCTACGAGAACCAGAGGAGACCTATGTAGAACAGAGGGAGAATATACAAACACGACTCAAAAGGTACTTGAGTTGGGAATAGCCACACGAAACCCAAGCCCTTCTTGCGTTGAACTGGGGACTTATACCATAAGGAGAGGTCCTTGCCTGTAACATCTGGCAGTTCGCCAGCATTGATTCAAGCAAAACTTTACTCTGCTGATGACACCGTGTGTCAAAACCGGTCCAGGTTTTTGCTTGTAACTGACTCAACGCTGCTGAAATTATGCACTCCCAGAGGGTAGATGGGGGCCTATGGGTTGTGTAACAGATACATTTTCTTTGAGTTTCTCGGTAAAGTCACGTAAATAGGTTCCAATTATTGGGTATTATTAGGTTCCAATTATTGGAACCTATCTACGTGACTTTACCGAAAGACCCAAAGAATATGAATTCCTGCAGTCACGCAAGCTTTAAGTCAAGATTTAACAAATACATGTTTTGCTATTTTTGTACGTGGAGAGACGGATACATGAAGCGGACAAAATTTCGTACGTTTCTCTGTTTTGGATGAGATGGCATCGCTGTGGCCGCCATCAACGCAGCAGGAATAGCAAGCTGATGATCTATATCAGCGGATCTGATTTATGCAGTATTGCGCACAGAAGTGAAATACGGTAGCGCTGAATCCTGGAATTCTTCCTTGATGATTCTTCTCTTGAAAAAAAGCAATCGTAACTTACAGAATTATTTTATTTGATTTCACATTTAATTTCACGTCACTGGTCACCCGAGGCTGTGGTGCTTGATGGTCCAGCTCTCTGAGCCTCAGGCACGTGCGACTAACCATAAGAATCGCAGGATTATCAGCAGGTCTCTCGGAGCCCCAGGTAATAACACGGAACATTAAAGCATCTTGAGGTTACATGATGGGACCTCCTTTGCCAGTACCAAAATATCAGAATAGGTTTTCCCCTTTTTTCTGGCGACAAAACAGATCGCCTTTTGGCGTCCTCTGGTCTAACACCGTTTGAGACTAGGCTCGAAAGAAAGCTGTCTCTGGTGTGGACCAATCAGTTTCAAAGGACAATGCAAATATTATCAGAGTATATTTTTTGTTTACATTCTGACCACAAGTATTGTGGTTAATGCAGACATGATTCCTTGTTGAAGGTTTCAGTTTGGGGTTATAACATCTTAACACCTGTTATGTTTTTGATTTAAAGCTTTCGTGACTGCAGGGATTCATATTCTTGGTTCTTTCGGTAAAGTCACGTAGAAGGGAAATAATAAAATAAAATAAATATTCCACAATAAAATTCTCACGACGTTTCGACTGCAACACATCCAATCATCATCAGGTGTGAAATCCACAGCAAGAACATTTGAAAAAAGTGGCGTTTTTTTCTTAATGTCAGCACCACGGACAGCGATTTGGCAGCTGGTCAGATGGACGAGTCCATCTATGTTCGGAAAAGAGGAGGGGGGAGAAGAAGAGAATGGAATGCGGTTTGAAAGTCACCGTAAGCGTGAATGCAATTAATTATGACCCGAAATTGTTTAACAAATCATTCCAATGATTGCTAAGCCAGAATACATCTTCTCGGTTGAAATTGTCTCTGTGTTTGTATATGTGGATAGCCTCATGAACGAATTTCTCATGTTGCCAGAAAAAGGGGCTTTTCCCATCTTGAGGTTGTCAGTTTAGTTCACGGGACTTCTGGCTTCAAGATGTTACATTCTAAGAATCAGCAGATTTGTTTAGATGGGTTGCTCTTGCCAATATCATCTGGCAACTCATAAACATTTTGTCTAACAAGCGTGACTTTGCTGATGAGACCCAGAAGGTGGAGCTTCCTTGCTTGCTTAGATAAATGCTGCCGAACAATATTGGTTCGTAAGCCTAATAGGCCCATGGACTAATATATTTGTGTATATTATACGCGGAGATGCAGGACGAATTTGTGGTTTAAATATCTGCTTTTACCCAGAGCGCAGAACAATTAGTTTGTATACAACAGATCGTTGTGGTCCTCTCCCCAGTATTGTTTTTTTTATGTTTGTCTGTGCCCGTGAAGTGGTGTCTTGCTTCCCCCTGAGCACAAACTCCTGACGTGGAACCTGTGCATGGACTTTAAATCTGTGACTGCTACTGCTTCATACCCCACCGCCGCTCGCGGGCCCCCAATCAGGGGGGCAGCGGCACACTCCCTCACCACCCCATCCCTCTCCCTCTTTTGCTAGGTCATTGACATGCTAATTTCTCTAACCCCTACCCCTCTCTCCGCCCCCGCCCCCTCTCTCAAGCTTTTGCACCTTGCCACTCACCGTGCCACTCATTGACATGCTAATTTCTCTAACCCCTACCCCTCTCTCCGCCCCCGCCCCCTCTCTCAAGCTTTTGCACCTTGCCACTCACCGTGCCACTCATTGACATGCTAATTTCTCTAACCCCTCCCTCTCTCTCTGCCCCCGCCCCCTCTCTCTATTTAAGGCCTCGACACAGAGGCGTGGTTTCTCTGTGTGCCTATGTTTGTCTCTCTCTATGTATCTCTGTGATATCTGTCTGCTTATATGGCTGTCTATATGTCTCTGGTTCTGTGTTTTATCTCTCTCTCAAATTTAGCATTCTCAGGAAGAACGTAATCAACCAGGCAGGGTGTTGACTGTTATGTTATCCGACTCTCTGTTGTATTACATTACATTTCTAAGTATACTATATTTGTGTTTCTATTTCATTTATACCTGATGATGATTGCTTGTGTTGCAATCGAAACGTCGTATGCTAGTATTTAATTTATTATTTTATCTTTATACGTGACTTTACCGAAATAACCAAAGAGTAGAGTCCTCTCCTTCTTCTTAAACTCAAGAGTTCAGGCCATTCCACTTTGCAGTCATATCCCCCACAGGAGGCAATGACATTCATTCATTTTTCAGAGCTTAAGTGCTTTCTGCAATCGAATGAGTCGTATCCGGATTCGGCTTCAACTGCGGTTATTTGGGCATTCATTTTGTGGTAGTTTTCTTTCCCCCACTGTGAACACGAGCAGTGCATGCGAGCACTCGTGTGTGTTGCGAGGACAGACAGGAGGTCGTAGGGTTCAATTCCGACCCTGACGCCTGCTTACTTGGAGTTTGCATGTCTCTCTCCCCATAGTCGCGTGGATTTTTCTCCGGCTCCTCTGGTTTCTCTCTCTACATTTAAGATCAACATGCATTTAGAGTATTTGCCTGGTATACATTTTCACGATGATAAGCCACTTCCTTGTGCTATCATTTATGATAGCCGGGTTGCTTCTGAAAAAGAGCTACATTGCTCATTGGGCCTTACCTGGTAAAATACAATAGTTTCGTTTAATTGTTTAGTTTAGTTGGCGTATTGCGTTACTAAGCCGGCGATCCGAGAAAAATTTCCTGCTGCGACTAATATCAACGGCGAGCGATAACTGAACTGGTTCCGCGTGCCCCTGTGTACGAAACTGCATCAACCATCGCAGTGACGTACGTGTAATTCTGTGTTCAAATCATGAAATAAAAATGTCAACTATCGCACCGCACACTATTCGCTGGCTCTCGAAGGCAGAGAAGGACTCGGGAGGTGCGAGGAAACACAGATAAGCAGGAAGGCAGCCACACGGTGAGCTGGCGCTAGCGATCGCCCAAGCTCTGCAGTGCAAACATTGTTCGTAAAAGAACATTTTTGACGGAGATGATAATAATAATATCAAGTTGTCACGCGTCGCAGAGCATTCGTTTGCTATCGAAGAGAAAGAACGACCACGGGGCACGAGGAGGAACCGCAGACGAGCGGAAAGCTGCGTGGTGAGCCGGTGACAACCACTGTCCAAGCTCTGCGGTCCTCTTTCTATGTTAAGGTGTTCTCGGGCTAATTAATAAGCGTTGACACGTGGCGGGGAAAATAAAGGCACCTCGAGAAAACCCAACGTGTGCGAGGGGGAAACCTTCTATCCCAAACGGGGTCCACATTTTCGCCGTACCACATTATCCTGGCGAGCCAGGCTCCAGCACCTCCTCGGTGCCCCGTGGGAAGGGAGTTTCGCGACGTTCGTGCGATCCACCAACCCTCGCCTTCACAGCGCCGTGGAACACCGGCGTTGCAATTGTAGCTTGCCATCATGTTCGCGTGTGTGTGTGTGTGTGTGCAGTAGTGTAGCGGTGTGTGTGCGCGTGTTGTGTGCAGTAGTGTGTCGGTGTGTGTTCGTGTGTGTGTGCGGTAGTGTAGCGGTTAACACGCTGCGCTATGAACCTGGCGACCCGGGTTCGATTCCCGCTCACGGCCAACACCAGCGACGATTATCTGAACCGGTCCTGGGCCTCCCCTAGGTCGACTCAGCCTGAAATTAGAAACTGGTGTGGTGTGTAAACATCGCCACTGGGGAGATAAAGGCGGTCGGGCGTGGTGCTGGCCACCCAATCCCCTCGTGTACCGTTCCGTCCTTCATAGGTGCTTGCTAACCACACTTGCCCCTGCAGTCTGTTAAGGCTACACGGGGGATCTTTGTCTTTTTTTTTGGTGCGTGCGTGCAGATCCTGGTGGGCGAGGTGACAAACCACTTTGTGGATTACGTGAACAAAGACCACAGCACGCGGGAGAGGACCATCCTGACTGGAGACTGCTGCTACATCAACCCGCTGCTGCGCCGTCTCGTGCGATTCACCGGTGGGACGCGCGATGCAGCGCGACCGCGCAGCCATCGATCCGCCGATGCTGGTTCCACAGCGGGAGCTTGCACCGACTGCGCCGAGAGCTGTGCTTGTCACGGCTGCTGAATTGAGATCTCCCCAGCATCCTGCCACAGATACCTGCCTACCGCCCTAGATACCTAAATAGATACCCAACCATCTTTCCTGCAAAACCTAACTCAACCACATACTTAGTTGACCCAGTTATCAAATCCACCTTTACACTCACCTCAATATCTATCCACCTATCTAACCAACTCACCCACCCACCATAATACCTATCTTATCTATCTAACAAAAGACAAAGATCCCCCATATAGCCTTAACAGACTGTAGGGGCAAGTGCTAACCCGCTACACTACCGTTCCCCACCAAAAGACACACACAGAGACACACACACAGAGACACACACACACAGAGACACACACACAGAGACACACACACAGAGACACACACACAGAGACACACACACAGAGACACACACACAGAGAGACACACACAGAGACACACACACAGAGACACATACGCAGAGACACACACACAGAGACACACACACAGAGACACAACAACAACAACAACAACCGCCATTCGCCACTAAGTGGCGGTGACGTCACCACGATGCTTGTGCCAGGCCAAGTGCACCTTGAGGCCACGTGAAGTGTCGAACGCCCGCTGGCAGGAGGTCACGGGGCAGACCCAGGTGCCACGGGTCGACTGACCGAGATGACCGAGATGACTGGCTGATGCACTACCTGTGCCCCCTACTGTGCCAACTTGCTGTGCTTTAGCCACCCGGCGCTCCGCTCGTTGTTGTGAGCGTCGCTCCTCCGCCCTCCGTTGTTGTTGGAGGGCGACTGCCTCCAATTGCCCAGTAGCGACCTTCACGAGCCTCCTCCACTGAGGCCGATCTTGACACCGCTGGTACCAGTCATCGGCAAGTCCACTCAGCTCCACGTCCTCCTGTACCACATCACTCCATCTCTTCTCCAGCCCGTGCCGCGCCCGTCTAGCCCCCTCGATCCGGCCGAACAAAAGCTGTTTAGGCATGCGGTGGCTGGGCATGCGGGCTACATGACCCAGCCAACGCAGCCTTGCCTGCCGGAGGAGCTCACTGATGGGACTTTGCCCAGATCTTTCAAGGATTTGTGAGCTCCTCACACAATCCAGCCTGGTTAAACCCAGGATGGATCGTAGGCAGGCCAGCCTAAATGTTTCCAACCGGCGAAGATGCTCCACCAGGGGGGTCCACGTCTCGCAAGCGTAGAGAAGGGAGGGAATGAACGTGGCCGAGAAGACCCGAAGCTTCGTGCGGAGCGACAGACCAGGTAGCTTCCACACAGCGTTACGCAACCGATGAAAAGATATTGCCGCTCGACTGATTCGGAGTGAGACCTCTGCTGATAAACTGGAGCCGGTCATAAGCACACTGCCCAGGTATGGGAAACTCTCCACTCTCTCCACAACTGCCCCTTCACCAATTGGGAGTTGTGGGGGTGGAGTGTCCGATGGTACAAAATACCCAGGCAGGTGCTTAGTTTTGGTGGGGCTGATGGTAAGGCCCCACCTCTTAGTGGCACGCTCCAGTCTCAGCAGCAGCGTCTCCAACTCCTCTTCTGAATGAGCAGCTATTACCAAATCATCGGCATACATAACGTGGTTGACCAATAGGGAGCCATCCCTTGATCGCACCCGGGCATCGATCAGCCTCCCATTATATCTGTACCAAATGGAAATTCCCCCGGTACAGCTATTGAAGGCTTCACGAACTACGCGGTCAAAATAGATGTTAAATAATGTGGGAGCCAGAGGACATCCCTGTCGCACCCCAAGGTGTACAGGGAAAGGCTCCGACTCCCGGCCACGTAGTTTTACCCGGGCCCGCTCACCATCATGAAGGTCCTTAATGATCGTGAGCAGAGGGTCAGGGACTCCGAAAGCACGAAGAACAACCCAGAGCCCAGTCCTACTGATGGTATCATAGGCCTTGACCAGGTCAATAAAGCAGAGATGTAGGTCTTTTTGGAATTCCCTACACCTCTGCTGTAGCAGACGGACAGAAAATATGGCATCTGTGCAGGACCGCCCTTTCCTGAAACCGCATTGGGGCTCCGCAAGCCCCTCCTCAGCGTGCCTAGCAAGGCGATGTTGAATAATCCTTGCCAGGACCTTACCCGGCACACTGAGGAGTGAGATGCCCCTGTAGTTGTTACAGTCGGTACGGTCCCCCTTCTTAAAGAGGGGGACCACCAGGGCATCCTTCCAGTCCTGCGGAACCCGTCCAGTGGTCCAGACTGTTGTTATGATGTCATATAGGGCAGTCTGTGCACAAACGCCACCCTCCCTCAGCATTTCGCTTGGGAGATCATCTCTGCCCGGTGCCTTCCCTGGTCTCAGACTCTGGATCGCCCTCAGTACTTCCTCAACAGCTGGCACCTCAGCCAGCCACTCACAGGGGGTGACCTCTTCCAATATTTGAGGCACCGCAGCCTCAGCAGGGTTATCACCACTTTTTGCCATGATGTTTTCCTGGCTGAGATAATTTCCCTCCCCCAGGACCTCACAGAAATGCTCAGCAAATCTGCAAACCTGTTCCTGGGGGTCGGAGATTGGATCACCGTTTTTTCCTCTAATGATGGTAATAGGTGTGGCGCTGCAGGTTACTTTTTTGATGGAGTTAAATAGTGATTTGTGATCACGGGCCACTGAGGCAGACTCCATCTCCTCAGCAACCCGCGACCACCACCCATCCTTACAGCGCATTACGGCTCTCCGAACTTCCGAGCGAAGGCTGCGGTAAACCTCCTCATTCTCTGACGTGGGATGCTGTAGGCGATGAGAGTGGGCCTGTCGCTTTTTCTCAATTAACCTGAACACCTCCTCTGTCAGCCAGGGTTTCTGGGGAGGTCTGGACCTGCGTACCCAAAGCAGCCATTGCAGCTGCATGAGTCACAGTCTTAAACCTCGCCCATTTCCCCTCGACATCAGGTGGAGTGGGGGACGATGCCAACCCCAGCTGCAAGCGATGATGAAATTCTCGCTTGCAACTTTTATCAGCTAACTGAGACCAGGCCACTTTTGGTTGGAATGGGATCCTGGGTGTACACCCACCACCGGAGTGGAAGAAAGGCAGGCGCATCTTACAGATGACTAGTCGATGGTCAGAGGACAGATCAGCTCCACGGTAGGTCCTGGTGTCAAGGACATGGGCTCGCATCCGCTGGTCCGTCACTATGTAGTCCAGCAGATGTTCTTGCTTGGACCCGGCATGTATCCATGATGTTGTGTGGATGCGCCGATGCCGGAAGAGCGTGTTGGTAATTACAAGCCCATGGGCTGCACAAAAATCTAGCAGCCTCCTACCGTTATTATTGAGCTGATCTGGCCCATGCCTTCCAATCACTCCAGACCAGGTGCCAGCATCATGACCAACTCGGGCATTGAAGTCACCCAACAAGATGACTCTGTCCCGAGTGGCCACTTTAGCCAGCACCTGTGACAGGAGGTCATAGAAAGCGTCTGACTCATCGGCTTTGCCTGCATCCCTCCACGGATGTTCATCTTCGGTGGGGGCATAAGTAACCACGACCACCACTCCTCGCCTCTGGTTGATGGGAAGGCGAGCCCAAAGTATCCTGGGGCTTACAGCTTCCCACACCTCACCGCCACGCTCCCACGCCCCCTTCATTCTTTTGTTCAGAAGAAGAGCCACACCCTGTTGTTTGGCAGTCTCCTGCCCCGAGTAGAGGACTGTCCACCCCTCATGGTGGCAGGAGCCAGAACCGGTCCACCGGACCTCCTGAATGCCACAGAGATCCAGGCGGTACCGGTCCAGCTCCCGACAGAGAAGTGGCAGCCTCTCCTCCGCAGTGAGCGTTCGAACATTCCACGTGGCCATCCGCAATGGTTTTTTGTTGTTTCTGGAGGAGCCCCGAGGGTGAAAATTCAATCTCCTGGCTCCGCCAAATGGGGTTTGGCCAGGAGACGTCATAAAAGCCTGACCCCCCGGGGCCTCCGACACACACACAGAGACACACACACAGAGACACATACACAGAGACACACACACAGAGACACACACACAGAGACACACACACAGAGACACACACACAGAGACACACACACAGAGACACACACACAGAGATACAAAGATCCCCCGGTATAGCCTTCACAGACTGTAGGGGCAAGTGCTGTTAGCGAGCACCTATGAAGGCCGCAATGGTACACGAGGGGGTGGGTGGCCAGGACCACGCCCGACCGCCTTTGTCTTCCTAGTGGTGATGTTTACACACCGCACCAGGTACTCATTTGAGGCTGAGTCGACCTAGGGGAGGCCCGGGACCGGTTCAGATAATCGTCACTGGTGTTGGCCGTGAGCGGGAATCGAACTCGGGTCGCCGGGTTCATAGCGCAGCGCACTAACCACTACACCCACCCACCCACCAAATGCCACGCAAATCTGCCGGGCTCACCACCTGCCTACTCTGCCACCCAACCACCCATCTAAGGTTGCCACCTGTCCTGGTTTTTCCGGGATCGTCCTTTTGTTGTCAGGTGTAGGTTATTGTCAGTTGTGCAATAATACACCCACTCAGGATGACGTAATCACACGTAGTATTGTGAGGTGGCAACCCTTCACACACCCCTCCCCACCCACGCTCACCAACTCACCCCACTGCAGTTTCCCCTGCTCACCTCCAGGCCCGGCTCTTTTCGGATAGGGGGGCCCAGTACAGGTCTTGTGTTCATGGGGGGGGGGGGGGTACCATAACAGTGGTGTACACCGCTAAGGAGGGTCAACTTGGGTAATGCCAAAGACGACATCGTGGTAAGGAGATGTTAACTTCCACGCCTGGTATGCAAGAGGTCGTGGTTTGGACCCTGACCCTGACACCTGTTGTATGTTTGGAGTTTGCGTGTGCATTTAGAGTATTTGGCTCCTGTACATTTACATGTGTTGACAAGCTACTTAGTTGAGTTATCGTTTGTCATGACTAAGGTCACTTTTGAAATAAAACACATAGGTCAGTGGGCCTTACCTGGTAAGTAAAATAAAACAGGGGTATTTGGTGGTAGCACAGCAGTCCACACCCCGGCAAGCCCCCGCTCACCCCCCTGCCCCCAACCCCACCCCCCCGCTACCCCACACACCCAGGCGTGTTCGCGTTCGGCTACTTCGCCACGGACATCTTCGTCAACGTGGGCCAGGTGGTGACTGGGAGCCCCGTGCCGCACTTCCTCAGCGTCTGCCGGCCCAACTACACCGCGCTGGGCTGCGGCGCCGGCGCAGTTGCCGGCGGCGGTGGACCCCGGTGCCGGCGGCGATGCGGTTGCCATGGCGGCGGTGGTGGCGGTTGGCGGCGGTAACGGCGGAGTCGGAGTCGCGACGGCGCGCTTCGTGGCGGGCGCCGAGGACGGAGCGTGCACGGGTGACGGGCCGCTGGTGCAGCAAGCGCGACGATCGTTCCCGTCCAAGGACGCGGCGCTGGCAATGTACGCCGCCCTCTACGTGACGGTGAGTGCCGCACGCTCCCTCCGTCCCCCGCTCACGCCCCCCCACAAATAGGGTGGCAGGGTGGCGCGATGGTAACGCCTTGTTCCCGTACAGCTAGAAGGGGCCTGGGTTTGAATCCACTTAACGACATCCGTCGTGAAGCGGACTGGTGCGTACTATTTACGGTTACCGTGGCGATAGCCGGGGCAGCCTGTCCGGGTTGAACCGCAAACCTTGACGACAAGCGGACGAATGAGCACCAGCTGGGCCACGATGCCATTGTCGCTGGCGACTGACGGTGATGATGACGACAATGAAGGCGACGGTGATGATGCTCGCACGGTGGCTGCCGATGCCGGCCTGGCGACGTGCCGCGTGCAGATGTACGTGACGAGCACGGTGCGGGCGAGGAGCACGCGGCTCGCCAAGCCCGTGCTGTGTCTGGCCGTGCTGTGCCTGGCCTGCGTCGCCGGGGTCAACCGCGTCACCGAGTTCCGCAACCACTGGGGAGACGTCCTGGCCGGGTTCACCGTGGGGCTTGGAATCGCCTTCTTCCTGGTAACGATCCCCTCTGCTCCCCCCTTTCCCCCTCCCCCATCCCTCCCCTCCCTCCTCCCCCACCCCCTCCCTTTTCTTCTCACATACATCCAACAGTCGATTGAAAAGGAGTTTTTTTTACCCACCAGGTAAGGCCACAGGGCTATCATAGGTTTTTTATTATTATAATAATAGTTAACATTTTTCGAAAATTTGCAATTTGCAGGTAGCTCAGGATTTAGTGAATGTGCCTTAGGCTCAGAGAGCTAAGTCCAAACCGCTCTAGCAATGCCAATGGCACAATATACATTAAAGAATGCAAAGCGATCGAGTTTCTAGTCATCTTGTGTGGATTTTATTCCTTGCAAACTACCGTCAAGTTAGAGGAACACACTGCCAATTTTTGGTTCAGCATTAATTTTATTGAGAGAGGCATAGCAACGTTGTTTTTAAAGAGATTGTACTCACATCAGAGAACTGTAGCAACATGACCGCACTCTCTGATAGCTGGTGTCAAACTGTGCCACACGCCGTCCCACATAGCCTTCTGGGGGAGCCTTGGTACGTCTTCAGGTATGAAGACATACCGATGAAGCTATTTTATTATAGCACGTCATCGGAACGGAATCAGGAGAAAAAAACTGATCACGCGCACGTAAGTCATCGGAATGGGAAAGGATGAATGTACGAAAAAATTCTTGACACGGCACCCCAACGATGTTTTCTTTTAATTTTAATGATGCAAGAAATCGGTAGAGTAGCCCGGTTTACATGAGCGGGCATAAGGAAACTCCCGGGGGGGCGGGGGGTGGGGTGACTCAACACACCCAACGATGGATATGCTGTGGGTAACGGCCAGCGCTCAGCAGTGGATTAACCAAAGGTTGTAGGTGATACCCTAATCGAATATTATTTATCACCATTAGAGCCAGGCACGTGCAAACCGAATTGAAACGTCGAATGCGTCTTGCCTAGAAGGGGTCAAATCTATTTCCAAACGACGATGATGACGATGACGATTTTGGCCGCTGATCTTTTTTAAACGCGGCCGGGGTGAAATGGCCGCCACGTTCAGCTGAGGGAATACCCCCGCCCCCCCCTCGTTGGGGAAACGTCGCTTTGGGGGGCCGTTCTTGACGTGCAAGGGAATCGCTATGAGCACAGACAGGGGGCATTGTTTTTACCTCTGAGCAAAGTTGAGTGCCACGCGTGCGGCCCGGACCAACTTTGTCTCGGTCGGTGAGCAATAAACAGAGCGAAAGGGGGTGGTTGGGGGGCGACTTCAAAAGCTGTCTTCGGTTTTTACGATTTTTCACGTTTTTTCTTGCATGACTCATCCGGGGCACAGTAGACGTCATAACATTTTTTGGGAAAATGTGAGGAAAACTTAAATATGAAGTTCAAAGACGTTGCTCAAATGCAAATGGTGGAAAACGTGAAAAACAATGTGGAGTTAAAATGGACGCGTCTAGTTGGAGCCGGCGTGGAAATGTTGTCATCTGGCCGTTTTATAATGAAGACGTGTGTCGCAGCTGCCAGTCCTGCAAATTCCACTGCAGGCAGAAAGGTGCTGTGGATGTTTTGGATCATCTGTATGGTGGGTAGGTGTTAAAAAAAAGAATAGCCCTTGTTCGATCCACTGCTAGATGTAGGCTAGATGAAAGCTTAACATCTGCGGTGGCGAGATGTTAACTACCTGGTATATCAGGAGGTCGTGGGTTCGATGCCGACTCTAACACCTGCTGTATATTTGGAGTTTGCGTCTTCTCCCCGTAGTCATGGGGATTTTTCTCCGGGTCCTCTGCTTTTTTAAAAATATACATTAAGGATCAATGGGCGTATTTTTGCCTGCTATTAATGTCCATGCAATCAGCTACTTCGTTGAGCTGTCGTTTGTGATAGCCAAGCCGTTTCTAAAAAATAATCTATATAGCTCAGTGAGCCTTACCTGGTAAAATAAACATAAACATAGTTCATGCTTTGTCCATAATGGGGGGGGGGGGGGGGGTTTGTTGTACTTCACGGTGATGGTCATTGTGAGTTGGCGAAGGACAGGCCGGGGGAGTGGTGCGGAGAGGGAGGCTGGCGATGGGGTGGAGGGCAGGACAAGAGTTTCCATATTCGCCGTGTGGCTGGCAATCGACATTTAGGCGAGCCCGGTTCATCGTGCAGTGTGCCCCACTACTGTCTGCATGAGAAGTAGTAGTCATAGTGCTTGGTAACAATTGTGTGCGTGCGTGATCCAAGGAATGGATTACACAAAAAACTCGTTTCTTGAGAAGTACTCTTTTGTGTTTCGTGCGTTGTCCTTCCCCGCACCTCCGAACGGCACGGTTGGCTACGTAGTGTGCGAAAGAAGTTCAACATACACACACATGGTAGTTAATGAAAAAAATTACTTAAAAAGGTATACTTTTCCTTTTGCTGTTAAAGAATAACATGACAACTCTTGTCCCTTTGCTGTTGTTTAAAGCAAAGGGAAATCGAGTAGAAATGGGGCAGGACACATCGTGATGACAGCTGATGAGAGACCGACATTAAACCGGCAGAAAGGAAGCGAAACAGTGGGAGACTGGGGCGAGACATCACAGAGTTCGGAGGTCACGACTGGACAGGAGCTAGGGGGGGAAACGGAAGTACATTTGGAGAGTCCTTTGCCCAGGAGTAGGAAATTACATACTGATAATATCAACAGTAACAACAACAGAAACAACAACAGCTACTATTCTCGTTGGCTTGAGTTCAATTCCAGCCATGAATTCCAATGAGCCATTGTATTTAGCTTCTCCTAGGTTGACTCGGCATTAAATAAATACTTGTGCAGTGTCTGAGAATCAGCACTGCACGGCAGTGTTCGTTTCAACGGAATTAAGTGAATAAATGCACCGTGCATGTCAACTCTATTCGTTGAACCGGCAACTATTCTTGCCACGTTGTGTAAAAGTTAACTGTTTCTCCTCTTACATGCATATTTCATGCCTTAAGAGCAAAGTTTAATGTAATTATTAAATGATCGAAGCTGGAGCGTGGTTGTGACGATGAGGATTATGTTGCCCCTCCTCTTCGTGTGGTTGCAAGTGCGCGCGTTTCTCTGCTTATGTAATGTGCCTGTGGAATTTCCGTAATTGTGCATGCACCACAGAATCGGGGACGTGGGGTCCGTATGTCCCACTGTGAGACCTGAGGCTGTAGCATGTGGCACATTAATCGCATTCCACGAATGCATTAAAATAGTTTAACGAACGACTGGAAGGACGGATGCTTGGATTAACCAACGGATGAATGATTGAATGTCTCTGCATACTGATCGTGGTTTTGCATCGTAAGCCAATTCTGTCGGCAGGATGCGACTGAGTGAACGACTGAACAACGGAGTTACCATTGTTGCATTGTTCACAACTTCAAGCACCAGCCCATGTATGAATTATTCAATGTACGAATGAACAAATAAGTGAATGAATGAATTAAATCACTAATTAATAAATGTTCGGCTTTATTCCCCGGCAGGGAGTTTGCATTGTTCACAACCTCAATCACCAGTCCGCATGTGAACCATTAAATGACCGCATGAACAAACAATTGGACGAATAAATGATCTAACGAATGAACAAATGGAAGGCTTTTGTTCCCTAGCAGGGATGTTGCACCGTTTACAATTTCCGTGAACTGTCCGTGAATGAACAATTCACGAACGCATGAACAAACGAATGAATGAATGACTTCATAAATGTCTCCGTTCGCCGGCAGGGCTTTTGCGTCGTTCACAACTTTCCGCCGGCAGTCCGTGCTGGCGGCAAAGCCACGGCACGAGGCGGCCTACGGCATGTCGCTGCTCGCTCTGCCGCGTGTCGAGAGCCCCCTTGACACCCGCAACACCACCCAGGTATTTATCGTCACCCGCCGTGCAACACGACAGCCGTGACCGGGTCCGCCGCTGGCCGAAGACCCCTGCGTTGTTCTCGCTGGCTGAACCCTTTTCTCGTTCCGATGACGTATGTACAAGTACGTCATAGGCCTTTTTCTTACGATTCCGTTTTCGATGACGAACGTGTACGCCGTCGTGTACGTCATCGTGTACGTCATCGGAACGGAATCGGAAGAAAAAACTCAATAAAATAACTTTATGGGTACCGAGGCCATTGTGGGAGGGCGTGTGGCAGAGTTGGGCACCAGCTATCGTAGACTGTGTTGGTCGTGTCGCTACGATTCTCTGCGGTGAGTACAATGTCGTTAAAAACAATGGCGCTATGCCTCTCAGAATAAAATGAATGCTGAACGGGACCCACCCTGCAACTTGCGGTCGTCTCGGAACGGGAAAGGGTTAAAGTATTCATGTATGTATGTTGAACTTCTTTCGTACCGTCTTTAGCCAACCGCGCTTATCAGAGGTGTGGGGGTGGGGGGAAGGACAACAAACTAAACACAATAATAAGCAGTTCAATCGAGATTATTTAAAAGTGTATAACTCTAGGGGATTCCTAATATCCGAAGGAAGAAGCGTTCCAGACGGCCACAAAAGGGCATCTGCAAGCACCGCGTGATGCGGCAACCATCTTCACGTTCAACCGGACCGAGGCATTAAGCGTTATTTTCCAGCGAAATGTAATAACAGCACATGCAAGGTCAGATGCTGCCTCCGTGTGTGGTTAGCACATTGGGATGGCAATCGGGAGGGCTCGGGTTCACTCTCCCGGCGTGGCAGTGGAAACAACGTCACAGGTTTCTTAAATCCCCCCACCACGGCCTCTGTCCACTCGGGCAGTGTAGATGGGTACACTGCAGTCGATTGACAGGCCACATATGGTGGGGTAATCTCACCTCTTCCAAGGTCTCTTGAAGCGGGCTCTCCAGAGCTCATACTCTTAGGTTTTTTTGGTAAAGTCACGTAGGTAAAAAATAAAATTATAATTAATAAAAGTAAAATAAAAACCACGACGTTTTGGAGGCAACACAAGCTTCCGTCTTCAGGAGGAACCGTCACAGCACGATTGCTGTATCAAGTAAAGATAAATTCCAGGAGACCCGACTTTGTATATATACAGGTTGAGGGGGGAGGAGCCAAGGTAGACCTACGTGACTTTCCCGAAAAAACCTAAGAGTATGAATCCTTGCAGTCACGAAAGCTTCAAATCTAGAATCTCCAGAGCTCCCCTGTAGTGGAGGCCCTTCTGCCAGCAGTGGTAGCGAGCGTGAAATTGCAGGGCCTGCGCCTTTATCACATTTTCTGGGCGAGGTCGGCCATTTTGTGACGATGCCTTTGGCTGGTTGTCACCGATTACCAATGGACATTAACCTGAGGCTATGACTGAGGGAAGGACGCAAATGTAGGTACCGCAAGTTCCCGAAGCAACTCAACGTAACCGTGTGAGGGACATGGTTGGAACACCCGTCAGAGTGAGAATACCCCTGTTTGCCTACTGAAGGTGGGCCCTCATCAAAATGGTGGAACAAAGGGGTTGGTAAGCGTAGGTTGGAGTGGTTTTAGAAGCAATGTAACAATGTGCCCAACGAAGAACGTTTTTAAAAGCGTTGCACGTAGCCCGTTCGTCTGTATCAGCTTTGTGGATTGTTGCATAGCGAGGCCAAGGGGGGATATTGTGTCATCCTTCATCCAGCAGTGAATCGATCATGGCCGATGATGTTGATGAGAAGACCCTTCAATTAATGAGCGCTACACTGATGAGGTGTGCGATTTGGTGAATTAATAAATCACTCACACACTCACACATGCGCAGACATGGACGCTTGTGTTCGTGTGCCCTGCATGCGATGTGACATTGTGTGACATCGCGTCGAATTTAGCTGGCATAGCTAGCACAATTTGAATTCAAGTGAGCACATTGCCCGGTTAGACATCCCGCCTTACTCGCAGACTCCAGAGGGATATTGTTAAGTGCTGCCTGCACACTCTCACGTTTGGAAGGTCATTTCTTTGGAACTGCTTTTTGTGTTTAGTTTGTTGTCCTTCCCGCGCACCTCTGATGAGCACGGTTGTATACGTACGGTGCGAAAGAAGTTCAACATATACGCGTCCTCGTACATACTCTCCCGCGTGCACGTGCTCAGTATAAGGTTGTCGGCTTATTTTGGCGCAGATAAAAGCCACGGGGAAATAAATGCCCATTTTCGATGGGGAACTGGTTCCGCAGTAGAAACATTGTCACAGCAGCAGCCAAAAAAACGCGCACAAAAAACAATGAAAAACAGCTGTCCATGGTCGGGTTGCGAATGGCAAGGTCGCGCAAAAGCACGGTACAACCAGCACAAAGGATGCAAGGCCAATAGAATGCACCGCATGCAAAAAAAAACCATGAATACATTTTAACTTAAAGTCTGGAAAGGAGAGTGATCAATTGCAATTGCTCACAAAGTAAAATAAAAAGTGTAAGAAATTTCATGAATATATCTAGTGCATGTATGCACACAGTTCTCATGTCTGTGATTTAAAAAAATATTTGGTGCACCGGTAAAAATAATATTCCCAGTGTAAAACGGTTCGTCCGTTCGTTTCTCAGTCCACTTGTCCTGGTGAGGATCGTGGCGTCAGCTTGTTGAGTAGGGTGGTCCAGACCTCCAGCACAATATTACAACACACTACTATAGACTACACACTACTATAGACTACGCTATACACTACACTATACACTACACTATACACTATACACTACTACACTATACACTACTGTACACTACACTATACACTACACTATTATTCACTACACTACTATACACTACACTATACACTACTACACTATACACTACTGTACACTACACTATACACTACTTTACGCTACTATACACTACACTATACACTACACTATATACTACTATACTATACACTACTATGCACAGACCGCCAGCGTGTCCTGGAGTGGCCCCGGGGTCTTCGTGAAATGGTGTTTCTTAAAAATATAAAAATTGTGGAAAAATAATTTTCTCACTCAACGGATATCTCTATAAAGTAGATACAGCGATGTACCTCATGCTACATCAGTACTCTGAGTGGTGTCGTGTTTCACAAATGGAACGTTATAAACTGAAATCCCAGGCCAGGGAGAGGCATTAGCCCTTCATCTCTGGATGATGGATAAAATATGTATTGTTGTGTAGGAAGCCAACTGTTTTTTTGTTATTCTGAATGGAAAACGAATTTATTTCGAACTACTTTGTGTTTTTAGTTTGTTGTCCTTCACCCGCATCTCCGATCAGCACGGTTGGCTACGTACAGTGGGATAGAAGTTCAACATACGTACACACAAATGGCCGTTAATTAAGAAACAACTTAAAAAGTTAGACATTTCCCTTTTCTGTAAAAAAATTAAATGAAAAATCTTGTTCCTTTTACTGCTAAAGCAAAGGGAAATCAAGTGGAAATGGGGCAGGACACATCATGATAACAGCTGACGAGAGATGAGAGACTCCATTACACTGTGGCAAGTTCAACATTCATCCATACAAGACCTGCATCTGTCATGTTATGTGGAGCCCTTAATCCACTGTTGGATGAAGCCCTCCCCACATCTTTCAATCATGGGGGGTTGTTTGGATATACTTCACCCTGTTGGTCAGGGGCCGTCCATAAATGACTTCACGCGATTTTGGACGATTTTTTACCCCCCCCCCCCCCTCGTCACACGGCGTCACAAAAAGTCAGACCCCTCCTCAAGTATGACGTCACAAAGCTCTGCCCCCCCCCCCCAAACCATATTTCCATTTTGAAAATAAAACATGCTTCAAATCGCTGTAAACTATTGTCATTGTAGTGCGTATTTAACGTGGCGCTGCACTCTGATGTTGTAGGAGTGTTGTTATAACAATTAGTGTTGTTATAACAATTCTATATTTATTTAAAGTTGCGCATTTTGATGTGATGTCACATTTCTCAACCCCACCCCCCTCGTCATACATCGTCACAAATGTCTGACCCCACCCCCCCCCCCAGGTGCGTGACGTCATTTATGGACGGCCCCTCAGTGCGTGTTGGTGAAGGGGATGTCTGGGATTGGTCTGGATATCACATGCCACTGATGTTAGCCGTGACCGGAAATCAAACTTGGGTTGTCAATTTAAAAGTGCAATGGACTATAAGCACTGTGTTGTTGCTTCAACCCACCCCTCTCATAGGAACGTGGATTTTTTTCCTCCCAATTGACTCAGGGCTGTAAACAGAATATAATCATCTCCCTATGCTCACTGAGGAACCACATTGACATCTTAAATATCGTAATAATAATATTATTATTGAGTGATGTGCCTCGAAAGCTAGCACGAGTGACCTGCTCTGAGTCTGTCTGGTCAGCGTATTCCAAATATAAATCCTCACAAGATCAGAACTCTGTTTTGAGGTCCCAATAATTAGTAACAGACTTGGAGGCGGTTTATTCACCAATGACACCGCCGTAACATTCTGAAATCTCATTCTTCTGCTTTCATATAGTTGTGGACGAAGTAGCAGCTATAAATCTTTGTCTGGCTTGTGAATGAATCCAACTAGCTTCCTCAGAGATCCCTCACAGTGGACACAGGTTCTAGTAACTATTTAACTACAATATATATTTTTAGCAGGTCAGGCCCACTGAGCTATGTAGCTCTTTTTCAGAAGCGACCTGGCTATCACAAATGATAGCTCAACGAAGTGGCTTATCATCATGTGGAAAGGTACAGCAGCCAAATACTCGAAACGCATGTTGACTCTGAATGTGGAGGGAAAAACCGGAGGACCCAGAGGAAAATCTACGTGAACACGGGAAGAACATGCAAACTCAAAATATACAGGCAGTAGCGTCGGGATCAAACCCATGCACCTCCTGTATAGCAGGCGATGTAATTAACATCTCACCACCGTGGCGCTCACGGTGGCGAGAGACCCAGAGAGATCCACATACACAGAGACCCGCATAGTCACACAGAGACCTATAGACTGATACAGAGACCCATAATCTCACGCATAAAGATCCATCGACTCAGAGATCCATAGGCTAACACAGAGGCCCGTAAACTCACGCAATACCAACAGACTCACACATAAACCTACAGAGTCACACATATATCAATGTACTCACAGGGACCCAAAGATTAACGAAGAGACCAATAGACGCATAAACTGTCGTCTTCTCAATAACTCGTAAAGCTGTTACAATTTAAATTAGTCTTTAGTTTATAGTTGTGTGGCTCCTAGGGCCTCACCATATGTAAAACCAGACGAAATGATCAACGCGTTGCACAACAAACCGGAGCAAAAAGGACAATTTGCAAATATGGAAATGCTCTTTGCTCTGACAGCTACCCATCAGCGATTGTACTGCTAAAAAGAATACTTCCGAGGGCGAGTGATTTCGTGAAATCTGAGCAGAATCCCATGCATGTGCCTGACTTTTCGTCCTTGTGTGTGTGTGTTTCTGCTCCCCAACCTCCCACCAGAACCACGCTACTTCTATCACAGAGGTGACGTAGGCGTGGGAAGCCGCAGGACGCCTGTACGCGTGGCCTGCCCAGGGCATCAGTACCAAGGGCAGCTCCCTGCTGCCACACGTGCCCACACAGACACACGTGCACAGCAATCTGCTCCACGGTTTCATACAGGCGGACACGAAACACAAACATACGCGCATCCGTACACGCCATACGTGCAAACCTGGTTGTAAAGGATTATGATAGCGTCAAAGATTTGTATTCAACAACAGTGGAAATATTTGTTTTCTTGATTTCCCAGGCTCTGTTTCTTTGTATGAGTTGGTTCACACACGTCTTAGCTTTTTGGTTCAATTTGTTGTGTTTTTTTTGTTGTTGTGATCCACAAAAGCCAATATGTGTCTCACGATGCTTTGAAAGAGGATACGTGCGTTGGGATGTTTCCTCAGTTCCTTTGTCAATGGGTGTTGTGTGTGGGCGGAGAAGTTTATGCCACTCGAAGGTCCACACAGATGGGTTATTTAAGAACCCATCCCGCCAATCCTTGGGGACATCCTGTCGGGTCGGGGAGTTTCAAAGTCTGCGGGGTCCACACCAACCTTAGCCTCCGAGGTAACGTTTACACGATATGGCTATACCAGGATATATCGTACGATCTAGGAATCGTGATAACCATAGCGTCTGTTGTGCAAAATATTATCACATAGTGATTACAGTTGGCCTTTTTTTTGTTGCTTTATATATTTTATTTCCTCACGAAATATTTGTGAAATAACAAACAATAATTAATGTTCCAAATAAATAGATTTTACCCATTTAATGAGTGTTTTTTAAACATCGTCTTGGAGTATTTTACTTCATAGCGGTTATAGGATGTGACAATTTTTTTAAGTCTGTCTCATTAACTATTTCCTTCCTGTATAACTGACAGCGTGTGTGTGTTATAAGCGTTATAGAGTGTAACGTTGAGAAAGACGTATCAACTGTTGGTGTAGAGTGAACCTGCGATTAAAGAACTTTTCAAGTTAATCTTTAATCATACCGTAAGTATAGGAAAGCACAAAAAACCCCAATAACAATTATAAATACAGTCACAAAGTTAGTGAAAACTGATATCGCGGGAGTCATCATATCGTGAACATTTATGTCTTTCTGTATTTTACCGTACACAAATGTAGTGCAGCAGCCCGACTACAAAATTCTGGAATCCTGCCACGAGGTACGAATATTGAGGTGTGTTTTCTTTTCACCTAGTTAATGTGTCATCTTCTCACGGAAAAAACACTTAACCCTTTTCCGTTCCGAGCTATCTGCAAGTTGCAGGGTGGATCCCGGGAGCGTGCAAGCGGTTCAGCGCTTCGAGATTCAATTTATTCAGAGAGACATTGTACTCAACGCAGAGAACTGTAGCGACACGACTGCACTCTATGATAGATGGCGTCAAACTGTGCCACAAGGCCCTCCCGGAAAGGGTTAACTGTGCCGTGAAAATGCCAAATTTTACGGGGAAATTTCTGTCGGAGAGTAAAATGAAAACCTTTTTTTGGTGTTTTAGTTCAATGACATTCATTTAAAGCCTCACGAACGCAACTGCCATCCTTACAACCAGGTTTGTTTTGAGTTTGTGCCATTTACACATTTCCAACGACATTTGTACTTGATCTTGAATTATCATCAGCAGCGGGAGTGCTGGCGCCGAGCGATTAACCTTAACCTTCTCGCAAATTAAATGTGATATTTGCGCAACCGATGAGGAAATCGTTGAAGCGGTATATTTTCTTTTCTGTCGGGGGGGGGGGGGGGTAGGGGAATTCTAAATTTAACGATGAACCACTGGCCACCATCGAGGTTTCAAACTTGATGTGCAGGTTTCCCCGTGTTTTGTACGGTCGCTGTAGATGCATTTAAAGAAAGTGCACACACAGAACGAGACAGCACAAGACGACTGTCTGCCGAGTGGCGGGCACGGCACACACACACAAAGAGTGTTGTCCCAGGTCCGATGGCATAGGCGTGTAGGAGTGAATTCGAGTATAAATTGGTTAGCTACGTGAAATCACGATAATCTAACCTGCTTAAAAGTGAGGGAAACCTGCATTACGCACAAAGTTTGCAAAAATAGCTATTGCGTACATATGTAATAATTCATTGAATTACTCCTTGCTTTTAAACACTGACCGTTGATACGCTTATGCCAATTTGCTCGGGCCAGTAATTCAAGATCAAACGCCAATTCTCCACCATACGAATAAAAACACAGCATTCCTGTACATGACATTATTACCCTGTGTTTTCAGTCAATTGTCTACAAAAACTGATTATTCCAAACACACCCACCCCCCTCCCCTGTACATACGATGTAGCTGTTTTTTGTACTTTGTCTGGATCTGTTTTGTATCTTTTTTGTTAAATACGGAAATTCATCTATAGCATTAGCACAACATTAACTTTCAAACAATTTAGCCATTTTAACGCACAATTAGAACCACAGTTATTGGGGAAAATGTCCTGATTTTACATGGGTTAAAATAAACTAAAAGGTATGTTGTAATGTTTAGCAAATGAAAATCGTTATCATGAGAACGTTGAATTTAAATGCACATTTTAGAAATGTTTTATGTTTACACTTGGAAAACGGATTTTCTTATTTACACTCTCACCAACCCACCGCTGTGTTTTCCCAAGTTTGACTGATGTATCCCCATTCAAACACAAATTGAGTTGTTGCACACCCCACGTGCGCTGCGATTGGTCAACATGTTCCATGTGACAGAGGGGCAATTCACGTGTTTGTCAGAGCATCCCGGTGTAAAGTGAGACGAATAGGTAGACACACTAACAGTAAATCTCGATTTTAATTTGAACCAACCACGGTATTTGTCTCTTCTGCATGCATGCTCGGGATGAGTCTAGTATTCCTTTTATTACATTCAAATTTTAGGCCCAATTTAAATGTATTCAATTTATAGCTTAACATTTTTTATGCAGTAAATGTGAGAATTCTAATGTTTTTAAACATTCATCATAGAGTGTTTAACGTACATTGGTGGAACTATACTTTGATGCAAACACTTGTATGTTTCAATCGTTTAATTTGAAACATTACATTGCGTGTCGTAGGAATTTCCATAGCGATGGACTTTCCGGCAGAAATGACGCCTATGCCTTGCGACGTCAAATGTTCTGATGAGTACAAAACGAGATGTGTAATCCAATTTTTTTTTTGGATTCATAAAATCGGGAACATATCCCAAGTGCGCTCATTACTTCCACAAACAAAGGGGTCTACGTTGTAATTGGGTCTCTGTGTCATAAAGGACATGCTCACCCAATTATTAGGCACTGGCAATGTTTAGAAATTCCATTTGCATTTCGATTTAAAGCTTTCGTGACTGCAGGGATTCATATTCTTGGTTCTTTCGGTAAAGGTACGTAGAAGGGAAATAATAAAGTAATAAAAATAAAACAATAAAATTCTCACGACGTTTCGATTGCAACACAAGCAATCATCATCAGGTCTGAAAACCACACCAAGTACATTTTTTATTTTATTTTATTATAAAAAAACGCCAATTTTTTTTAAATTTTCTTGCTGTGGTTTTCACACCTGATGACGATTGCTTGTGTTGCAATCGAAACATCGTGATAATTTAGTTTTATTTTTATTATTTAATTATTTCCCTTCTACGTGACTTTACCGAAAGAACCAAGAACATGAATCCATTTGCATTATAAACTATTCACCTACGGCAAAGCCACGGGAAAGGTGATTCGAGCCGAGGGATGTTAATGTACTGGGGGGGGGGAATGCAAAGAGAGAAGCGAATGAATGAGCGACGAGGGAGGAAAAGAATGGAAAGGGAAGAGTGAAACGGGGCCGCGAATGCATCAGGGAAAGATGAGGATTGGGAGGAAGGGGGCTGCACGAGGAGCGGCGTCTGTTTCCACAGGGGACCAGCGACGGAGAGAGGGGGGAAGGGTTCAGAGTCGGTGTGGTCACACAGGGGTCACGTGATTTACCGGAGGCTTGAGCTGGTTTACAGATATATTTGGATGAGATGAATTGGTACACTTTAAGAGATGCACCGTCGTGGGTGGTTGAGGGGAGAAGTTCAGAAAGGCCTTGCCTTTGGAACATAAATGTAACTACTTGCGCAGCATAAAATGTGCGGTCTCTTAGGTCTGCACTGTTGAAGCGTCGGTTCACAGATTTGAAGCTTTCGTGACTGCAAGGATTCATACTCTTAGGTTTTTTTCGGTAAAGTCACGTAGGTAAAAAATAATAATAAAATAAAATAATAATAAATGAAAATAACTCAAGCTGTGATGGTCCCACCTGAAGACGGAGACTTGTGTTGCCTCCGAAACGTCGTGATTTAATTGAGTTATTTTCATGTATTATTATTTTATTTTTATTTTTTACCTACGTGACTTTACCGAAAAAACCTAGAAGTATGTCGGTTCACAGTACGTGTAGCCCTGCCGTCAGCAACCTTCTCCACGAAATGTCGACGTGGCTGATGAAGGAGATGAGAAAATGTTTTGTAAGAGAATGTGTAACTTTTGAAGCCGCTTAATTGATTTTGTCTCCGATGCGCAACCGTAATGAACCGGTGTGCATCACAGAGCTCTACTCGATGCTGCCACAGCGATGTAATGGCCAGCGCATCGGACTTGCAATTTAGAGGTCATCGCAAAAATGGTGCACGTATTTCATCTTAACCCTTTTTTCGTTCCGAGACGTCTGCAAGTTACAGGGTGGGTTGTCCCATTCACCGCTGAATCTCGGGACGCGCAAGGGGTTAGCATTCATTTGTCTAGAAAGGCGTAGCGCCGCAGAGAACTGTAGCAACATGACCGCACTCTATGATAGCTGGTACCAGAACTGTGCCACACGCCCTCCTGCATGCTCTTTTACTTCCGAGTCCATTCCGATGACGTACGCGAAAGATGATGACGTAAACGTACGTCATCGGAATGGGAAACGGGAATGCAGCCCCCCTCCCCCACTGTTCACCAAGAACCATCGATGGGTACACCACACTCAGTTGATTGGTAGATCATGCGTGGTGGGGTAAAGTGTGCAGTACTGCCTCCGCTTCTGAAGATATTTGGCCAGCGTGAAAGAGTAGGCCGAACTTACCCTCTCGAGCGCCCTCGAGTGGAGATGCTTCTGCCTGCAATGGAGATGGCAAGCAAGTGAAGGACTGCGCCTTTACGTTTTAACAGACTGAGCGAACCATTAATTGTTATACTAGTTAAACTCCTCCAGCACCTGCTGTCTGAGTTAAAGCAACGTGTGATTATTCATTTCTGGTGACATAGAAGGTGACTTAATAATTATACACGAGCCCAATATTAAACGTGACAACCTCCTAATCTGTGAATTGTTTTCCTGCAACCAACACAGTTGAATTCCCCTAATTGAAAAAAAATATGGATTGTAAATGTTTTCACCTTGAGATAAAATGTTGTGTTTTTATATGAGAAGTTTTTTTAATGTCCATGCTGATACAAAGCCTTATGCTAAACTGCTTAAATGCATTTCTGGAAGTTGGTTTACAAATTCAGATTGACGTTTAGACTTTGCAGTGGATGTAAATGCAGTTAATATGACAGTCGTTACAAATATTTCTTGTGCCCTGGTGTTTCCGGAATTACCATAACACAGAAAACAAGTCAGTGAATATTATGCCTAATTTGTAACTGTGAACATTTTTGTTGGCTTATCAATCATTTAACTTAATAACGAGTGAACGTTGTTTTCGTAGTAAACTTAGTGGTTTCATTATCGGTGGGTTATCTTCTAAAGAGTTGTGAAAAAAATAAAAAAAATAGGATGAACTGCTTAAAATTATAAATTTAATGTATTATTTCATTTTCATTTCAAGTTATTCTTAAGAATATAAAATTTAGACTTAAAACTTTCGTGACTGCAGGAATTCATACTCTTTGGGTATTTCGGTAAAGTCACGTAGATAGAAAAATAATAAGACAAATCACAACATTTCGATCGCAACACAAGCAATCTCTCACCTGAAGACGATTGCCTGTGTTGCGATCGAAACGTCGTGATTTTTCTTATTATTTTTCTATCGACGTGACTTTACCGAAATACCCAACTAGTAAATGTAAAATTTGACATTAGGGACCGTTTGTTTTTTTACATTATTTTAATTAGTAATTTTCCTATCTGTTTTAAAGTTCACTATTATTCGTATGTATCTGATCCACACAAAACAAATGTTTGTACCTATTGCTTGTTTATCATGCACAATCACTGTGATGTTAACATTACTTTTGGAATAAAAAAAAACACAACCTCTTTGTATGAAAGTTATCACCCGCACCTTTAAAAAAAAATGTTCAACGCGTGCAAAGATGGAAAAGCATTGTGGGAATATCAGCCTCTGATCAATCTACCGCTTGCCCTTCCCCAAGCTGCTCTGCTGCCGTCTCTCGCGAACCTGCGATATAATAATAATCATCAACTCCGTATCTCAACTTCAGAAAATAGAAAATAGTTTCGTCTGCCCACCGATTGGCCTTCCAGAAGTGTGACAACAAGGTGCATTCGCCTTAGCAGTGCAGACAAAATATGTTTTCCGCTTACAGACCAATAACGTGTATATATTACTGGTAGGAACCTCCTGGTTCCACCAGCCCACAGGTGATTATTGTGTCCGTCCTTCGTGCAGGGAGGGGCTGTGTGGGGAGGGAGGGGCTGGGTGGGGAGGGGAGGAAGGGGCTGGGTGGGGAGGGTGGGCTGGGTGGGGAGGGTGGGGAGGGGCTGGGTGGGGAGGGGCTGGGTGGGGAGCGTGGGGCTGGGTGGGAGGGGTGGGGCTGGGTGGGGAGGGGCTGGTCACCCCGTGGTGCCCTTATAAAACTCAACGTTAAACCTACTCACGCCGGCTTGTGCCCGCCCTCACAGTCGGGCATATTTGCGGAATACACCACGCCACCGTTGACCCTGGCCATTGACCGAGCAACCCAACGTTCCTACCAGCTCCCTCCGCAGGAATGTGTTATAAACACATACGTATTGACGCATTTTACTTGTTTAATTTCAACCGGCCGTGGTTGTTTTATATTTTAAAACTTATAAAGTGCTGTGCCAACTGAAGAATATATGCTCGTAAAGATTTGGAAAATGGAATACAGCAGCAGCTGGATATGAGCACACTGACTGTGAACAAGGCGAGCTGTGGCTGATATCAGAAGTTGCCCCCCCCCCCCGTCCCCGATCAGTTTAATGATCTAACCATGTGTTGCTTTAATCAGAACTGTGCTTATATACGGTGTGCCTATATCCAGCTCCTCTGCTGTTGAACACTCAAACAAATTGGCGTTAAATGGTGTAAATGTTAAGCATTGTACGTCTCATAAAATCACCGGTTCAATTTACTGACATGCCCTCGATGAAAGGCCCAGAACCCATGGTTATTTTATTTGTACGTCCTTAAAGATTACAAACCAATTGATAGCCTCTTTCCATTGGTAAAAAAACCCATAGTTAAACAATGCTTATATAAATGTCCCACGTTTGCGGCAGCAGTCCCTGATTGATGACTATGGCTTTTGAAAAAAACAAATCCCAGTCAAGTTTGAATTCACATTTCAACGCGCAATAGCATTGGTCCTTCTTTTAGGTGGCTGCTGCACGATACGTCACTGCATGTTCCTGAGAAATGTTGTAGAGCATCTGACCTTCCCACCCCACCACAGGGCCTGATCTTGACCTTCACGTGTAAACGCATCCTGCATGCTGCCGTGTTCTGCACAGCGTGACGAGCGGTTACCGGATTCTCGGGATCAAAAAGATGCACATTCCCCCTCTGTTTTATTCAGATGTTGGGGGGAGAGGGAGGTTGTGGGGTCGGGGGAGGGTCTTATGATCCTGTAGGTGTGTGACCAGATTTGTATGACGTCATTAACATTGGGTACAGGTTTCAGGCGGCGACTTACTCTCCGCGACGTCTTAGACATCTGGAGAATTACCAGAACGAAACAGGGCAACCCCGTATACGCTAAATTCAACAATCAATACACATCAGGAGTTTCGATTTTTTATGGGAATTAAAAACTCCACGATACCTTTCACAATGTGCCATTAATTACAACGCATATACAATGTATCGTCCGCACAGATGGCTTGTTGGGTGGTGATCATCCCACTTGGTGGCCCTGCAGCCAGGAGTGTCCATTCTCCATTCCAACTGCAGGAGCTACCCTATTCATAGACCACCCAACGTGCACTTCCACTAAAGTGGCAACTCATTTACCAGCCGCGGACATGAATGATGGGCTCAGTTGAAATGCCCCGACCAAATATTTTTAAAAGGTGTTGGTGTTTTGGATATGGGCCAATGGTCACGCAAAAAGGCGCGTGAAATGTTCAGATGAACACAACGTGTGTGTGTGTGTGTTGTTGTACAGAGGAGCGGTAGTGTCGTGGTTAGCGCGCTGCACTACGAATCCGGCGACCCGGGTTCGATTCCCGCTAACGGCCAACACCAGTGAGGATTATCCGAACCGATCCTGGGCCTCCTCTAGGTCGACTCAGCCTCAAATGAGTAAACATTGCCACGAGGGAGACAAAGGCGGCCGGGCGTGGTGTTGGCCATCCAGCCCCTCGTGTGCCGTGCCGGCCTTCATAGGTGCTCGCTAACGGCACTTGCTCCAAGCTATACGGGGGATCTTTATCTTTGTACAGAGGGGCACAATTTAAGCAGTGGTGGAGCTGGCACGTGGGGGGGGGGGGTGTCTCTAAACAGACATTTGTAGAGCTGTTTAACACCTCGTAAACTTTCGCGACCAATATTTATAATCAAGGTGTTATCAGTTAGATCGCGTAAAAATAAATGTGCCGTTAAACCACCACTAACTCGACGAATTGGCTGTGTCAGGTGGTGGTGGGTTAGCGACACATTTATATTAACGCGATCAAACCCATAAAACCGTTCTCATGAATTGGTCGCCCCCCCCCCCCCACTCCTTAGTGAGACGACAGAAGAGTTATAGAGATGCAGTGAGATGAGAGCGATGCAAGCAAAAGAGACAAAGATGTGTAATGAGATGGAGATGAGAGATCAATTCACAGTTTTAGGTTACGTGCATTTTTTGGGTTTTTTTCGAGTACTGCATCTGAATTAGAGCCGATATATAAATTGCGTTCCGCGTTCATGAGTTTGGCTTCCCCATGACCTGCTTTGAGCCGTAGCGCTGTCGCTCAGTTAGTTTATGCCTTGCACCACCACTGTGTGTCAGTGCCAATGGTATTAGGATTGTTTGCCCTGTTTGCTTCTGAGTATAAGTACTTATCTTTAAAAAAATGCATATATACTCCGTATTAAGTTAAACTTTTTTTGTCCACATTAAGTGTTGCTGAACATGTCGTCGTGACTTTTTTTTGTACATGGGCGGCGCGTGAACGACTTTTTTTTGTAATTTCTGCCCCTCTGATAATCCCACACGAGAACGGTTTGTATGGTAAGTGGCAGGTTTGCGCCCAACGTGGGGTAAAATGTCTTTCTTTGACTTGGTGCTAACACAGGGGGTCGGCAAGACCTGTGGCAAGGACCACCGGTCTCGTATTCACCGCATGTATTGCGGCTCTTGAAATATTGAGCTTTTTTTTACGGAATTCGAGGGGGAAAAATTGTCCTTTTTTGGGTTTTGCCGAGACCCCTGTGCCAACAGAAGTGATTTCGCCAGCCATGATCAGCTCGAGGTGGCGACTTGTGCCCTCCTCTGAGGCATCTGCTGCTGCCGATTACTGCAGCTGAACAGACAAAACCGCGTGTGAACACTTGAGGACAAAGAGGGAGCTGTTTACCGCACAACCCTACTATACTTTGTGTGTGTGTGTGCGGTGATCGGTGTATGTACTCTGTATTGTACGCTTCACATTAAAATTCGGTCTGCCATCTTGGATTGTGCCACCGAGTGTGATGATGTGCCCAATACCTGCGTGAAGGCATACATTTGTTTAATTCAATCACGTCGATTGTTTGGCCACTTGTACGTGAACCCATTGAATTTGCTGTCGTCGGAATATTAGATTTTTTTCTACTTCTGTGATGTAACACGTAAAAGAGCAAAAGTGATTTTTATTTATTTATTTCAATTATGGCCTTTTGTTTCACCATTGAATCCATGCTGAGTCTCAAATACTTTTTCGGCAGGGTCTTTCATGCCAAACATATGTGGCCTTAACTATTCACGAAGACACCGCAGAGGTGTAATGGTCCGCAACTCAGGGCTTGCAATTGAGAGGATGCCGGTTTGATCTCTCGGTTGAAACATTGGGAAAGTTTCTCAAATCCCCCCCCCCCACCACCGCTTCTGTCCACCCAGCAGTACAAATGGCTACACCACAGTTGATCGGCAGATTTCATGTGGTGGGGTCAAGTGTGTGTAGTGTGTAGGCCAATCAGTTTCAAGGACAATGCACATTATCACAGCATGTTTGTTTGCATATTCACCACAAGTACGTGTGGTTAATGCTGACTTGATTCCTTGAAAAACGTATCTATTTGGTTTTGAACATCTTAACGCCTGTTTTATTGCCAGAAGGGGTAAAATATATTCATATTTTCCATATTTTGATACTGGCAAAAAAAGGTCCCATGATGTGTGTATATGTTGAATTTATTTCGCACCGTACGTAGCCAACCGTGGTGATCGGAGGTGCGGGAGAAGGAATCCTCACGTCTTTAAAAAACGTCTTTTGAGCTCGCTCTCATTGAGGCCCTTCCACCAGCAGTAACGTAAGCAAGAAATTGCAAGGCTGCACCTTTTACATTGACAATTGTATATAACCAGTAAACCTTCGCCGGGTCTCGAACCTATTTCAGGAGGGTCCTTTATTTGAACGCTTGGCCAAGTATTTTGCTTCGTCTGGGAGGAATCTGCAATATCTCGGGAAAAAAAACTGACAAGCTGAATTTTTATTTTATTTTACCTGATAAGGCCCACTGAGCTATAAAGTTATTTTTCAGAAGCTACCAGGCCATCACAAATGATAGCTCAATGAAGTGGCCTATCGCGTGGAAATTTATGAACGCCATACATCGAATTGTAAGTGTTGTGGGTTTACTCTCCAACACACCGGTGTGTTGCACTCGTAACTAATTGGCATGCTCTATTAACGTGGCACACTTTAGTAATTGTCTGTGTTGGGCGGGTTTAATGACGTATTAATATTTATGCGAGCCTACGTGTTAAACTATTTTTCATTTTACCAGGAAAATAGCTCTATTTCAGAAGTGACCAGGACACAAATGATCACTCAACAAAGTGGGTTATCACGTGGAAATGTATAGCAGAAGCCAGATACTCGAAACGCATGATGTTGATTCTAAACGTAGAGGGAAAAACCAAAGGACCGGAGATAAATCCACGTGACCAAGGGGAGAGACATGCAAACTCGAAATATACAACAAACGTCAGGGTCGGGATCGAACCCACGACCTCCTGTATACCAGGTGAGGTCGTTAACATTTGGCCACCGTGCCCCCCCCCCCCCCCCCCCATATTCGTGAGGGTGTGAAGCTCGGCACTTGCCATCTTTATCAAACGTTGCCTTCATAAATTTCGCAAGCCGTAGCGATTGTTGCTGTGCATAATCCCAATTGTGTAAATTTGTGATTTAATTTTGTAAAATTTGTCAAATTTGCACTGTGACACCAGGAGGC